GTCATTGCTTAGAAGTAAGGGACGCTTGAGCACTCAAACACAAACCATACATGATTCAGATAGAGAAAGAAAACACTTTGCTACTGCAATTTAACAGACCATGGCTCTCTTAATGGTGCATGCTTCTCTAAATGAGACAAGACAAAGCTTTCTTCAACAGTTAGATACTTCAGGGTCAATCCCCAGAAAGTCTATGACCTTTTGGTTGAGAACATCTTAAGTGATAATCAAAGTACTTTATTAAGTGTGCTTGAGTTAACATAGTTTTCAACCTTCTGCCCATCTTATTGTTCTTCAGCTGTTAACAACCATGCATGGCTTAGTTAGTATAAAAAACTTCAAATAAGCACCTGATATTTGATATAAAAAAGCATATTTTTTTTTAAACTTTGAATTTGATCTAAATTATAATTTAGAGCAAACATATATTTTCCAATTGCTAATCCTTTAAATAAATTACTTTCACAATGGAAATTTTGTTAAGTAAAGTAAGAAAAATAAGGAGAAAGCTTTCTTGGCATAATTTAAGGCAAATCAGCCAATTATGCTCTGGGGTGCCATGCTGAGTTGCCAAAATTCTTTAATCATCTGATGCTGTTGCTTTCTCTTGACAGGGACACTGACAGGTCTCACAAGCTGATGCTGTGGTAACCTTGACACAAAATGCATCTCTTCACGTGCACAGAAACTTTGTGCAGAATATGTATGACGCAAATGTATGTAAACACATATTTTAATGGGTCACAGGTGGAACTGTACATTTAGGATCTTCAATCAAATTAACTTTAATTGGGGCTTACAAAATGTAAACATAGTCAGTGATATGAAAACAAAATATAGGTTTTAACATTTTACTACAGTTTCTCTAAAGCCAGAACCGCACAAGAGATACAGTATAAATGGGAAGAGATGAACCACAGGTTTCTTTCTTTAATTTGAGCTAAAGTAGCTAAATATGTTTTATGTTTTGAAAGAAATACTTTTATTCAGCAAGAATGCATTAATTGGATAAAGAAAAACAGTAAAGACATTTATAATGTTGCAAAAGATTTCTATTTAAAATAAGTGCTGTTACTTGCCTTAAAAAGATTGTCCATTTATTCTTTTTTTTCAGTTTGAACTGTTGCATTTAGTTTTAAAGGGATACTCCACCGTTGTTGTTTTTTCATATTAAACTATGTTATTACCTTAACTAAGATGAGTTGATACATACCTCTCTCGTCTCCATAGACATATACACTAGATGTCACCTTGGGGTTCTAATCATTTGTTAAAACCGCCGCCATCTTGGAACAGGAGTCTTGTCATAGGAAGTAGCTAACGCTGCTATCTCTGCCTTTACTTCGAATTCATTGCTGGTGGCGGACTTTTGTGCCGCGTATAATGTTTTCACGGATGAAATCTGAACTGAAGAATGTTTTTTGAAAAATGTCTGACCGTTGGAACAAACCAAAAAAAAAAAAAACAAGAAAAATTGCATTCATGATGATTTATGGTGATTTTATTTCCGTTAGACCTGTGTCTACATTGACGCTGATGCATTAAAGTGGAGGGGCTCCCTTGTTTCAAGATGGCGGCTCTATTGACGCATTCGTTCCAATGAACTGCCGTAGCCAAGGTGACATCTACTGTCTATGCGTGTACTCAATCGCTCTGGCGCGCAAGACACTTTGATAGCAAGCATTTTTTTTGGGGGGGCTTGGCTAAAACAGGGCTCAATGACGCACTAGATAACGCACTAAGGCAGGCCCCTCCCCCTAACAATAGAGCGTTCACATCAGTTTGGTGCTCAATCGTGAGTTACTGTAAGTAATATTATTTACTATAGCCTACAGTTTACTAGCTAACTATGCCTTTGACAAGGAAAAGCGCAACGTTTTATTTTTGTCACCATTCTTGGTCGAGTTACACTACTGTATTTACACTACTGTATTTACATAGGGAAAGCGTGGAGGTGTTCGGTCGCTCATCTGCTTGGATCCTAATGAATGAACTGGGCTAAGCTAAGTGCTATCAAAGTGTCTCGCACGCCAGAGCGATTGAGTGCACGCACTGAGACGAGAGAGGTAGTTAAGCGAATGACATAGTTTAATATGAAAAAACAGTGGAGTATCCCTTTAACAAAACTAATATAGTTCTGTATATAAAGACAGAAATCATGTGACGATGGAAACAGTACAGTAGAACATTGTGCTGTATTTAAAATCAGTGCTGAAATCTCACGGCAAGCATCACATCTGAGTCCTCACTCCAATGTCAGCAATTACTTCTGAAGATGATTATATGTAAATGGTCACTAGCTTCTAATAAATGAAGACAGAAATAAATAACCATAGCATGGTGACATGCTGACATAAACTTAAGATGCGGTCATGACTCCTGTCTTGAGTGGATGGGTTGATTTTACTTTATCGTTGTGCGAGCTGCCAGCAAACCCATAACATCACTCACAGAGGGGCTCAGATGCAGGGGGATCAGGGAATTGACCAGTTAATTGCATTGAGCTCTGATACGTGCATGTCCTGAATCATGTCAATGTCTCCTTTGGTTGACAAGGTGGGAATACAGAGTTTGTTTGAGTATTTTAAAGTACCCTTTTCCTTGCACGTGTGACTGGACACAGAGTGGTATAACCTTCCTGTTACTTACATATCTGAAGACCATTGCATTGTTGTACTGTATCTCAAATCCCAAAAATGAGTGCAGCAGGATAAAAGAAGCATCAAGGGAGTTTGAGTTTTATAAACAGGATCTTTAGTGTGTGAATTGGAGAAAATGAAACATGTTGTTCCTATTGTGAATGTCAGGCACAGGCAGGCAGGTGAGACAACAAATACACACGCTGGCCCACCAATTCATCTTAGTTTTAGGTTATTGTGTTATGTGCACAGAGTCATTAATGAGAAGTAAAATGGTATGGCTTCATGTTTCAGAATCACGGTCTCGGGTGAAATACTGTTAGTTACCCATTTGTCTCATGGTTGTCATGTAATACTACAACCGTTGAAATATATGGCAGCAGAACAGCGCTTAATGCATTTTGTCATTTCAATAACTCTTACATGTTTGTCTGAGAGGTTTTATTCAAACATTAATTCTGAAGTGGGATGGAGGTGTAAAGTTTTAAATGAATACTTCCTCACTAATATTAGAGAGACACGATATTAAAATACCAATACGATAAGCCAATTAATTATTGTCATGTCATGGCGGATTATTGGCAAATGGTAAAAAGAATGTATCAATTAAAATCAATATCAATTATTGGCTTATGACCATACTGTTTAAAAGTTGTGTGTCTGAAAATAATACTTTTATTCAGCAAGGGTGCATTATATTTATCAAAAGTGACAGTAAAGAATTTTACATTGTTATACAAAAGAAATCTATTTCAAATAAATCTATTCTATCTATGAATCAAAATATCCAGGGAAAATGTATTTTCATCATTAATAATAAATGTTTCTTGAGCACCACATCAACATGATTTCTGAAGGATCGTGTTACACTTAAGTTTGGAGTAATAGCTGCTGAAAATTCCGTTTTGTATCACAGAAATCAATTATATTTTGAAATATATTAAAATAAAAAAAACAATTATTTTAAAATGTAATATGTTTTCACAGTATCACTATTTTACTGTGTTTTTGATCAAATAGACCTTAAATAGATTTTAAAAAAATCTTACTGACCTCAAACTTTTCAACGGAAGTAAATATAAAACCAATATATTGTGCATCCCTAATTAATTTTAATCAAATTAACCATCATTCTCCTTCAACTCTGTGATGATGAAAATGTAAATGTATTGGTGAGAGGCCTTCTGATAGCAAGATACTGTTGCTACAGTATTCATTTGTATTATTTACAGAGTTAGCTTCTTTCAAATGGAAATTAAACTTTCAATTCCGTCTAACTCTCACCTTTCATTTAGTTAGCTTTCAATTACACACTTCATTATGTTCTGTAATGAGTCCAGTGATGTGCCTGTACATTCCACCCTGAGGGCCTCATTGGGATAAATTATGCAATCCCATTTTGGGTCTGTTGCCACTAATAAACAGACGAATTCAGAGCATCATTTGTTCGTAGAATTTCCCCTCTGGATCCTAAGGAAAATCCAACAGAACATGAGCAGGCTACGAGCAGCGTGAATTATTGCACCTCCGTTTTATCTTTGTATCTTCAAACGGCTGGTGTCTTAGTGGTGCTCCACTCCACCGAGTACTTAGACGGACAGACAAGACCCAGTCTGATTGCTGAACTTTACAGCATGTAGACAGAGAAGCGGTGGAAGAGGTCACTTCCAGACAGCCTGTCCCCTCCAGTGTGCTTCGAGCTCATCTTCCTGCTCTTGTTCCACTCTGTGTGCTCGCCTGCGGCTTTCTGCCCGCCCTCTTCTGCATCTGAAGGAGGAGAATAAATAATGAATCACGATGACAGCGAAGAAACTACATCTTTTGTTTGCACCCGCAGTGTTATATTTTCTCATCTTGTCTTGAACCCCACGTAGATGACCCACGGCCCGACGCAGGCATAATGAAGATCCGCGTAATGAGGCTGAGGAATACGAGGCCCCTAGTTAGATCCGAGCTGTCGGCACGGCGGCACTTGTCATTGTGTCGTTAATGACCATGAATAGCTTGTTCTCCTTTGCTATTGTTGAGACTGCTCTCGTGACGCTTGCGTAGCGATAAGAGTTTTTGACACTCCATGATCCTTAAGGTAATGTAAGCTCTTACCCTTGTGGGTTAGCAGGAAGCGAATGAGCCCGGTGTTTCATCCCCTCCAAAACAGGAGGTGTGGTTTAGATTTAATATGTGGGATTTAGCAGCTGTCGCGTTGTGGAGATCCTAATGCTTAAGTCCCTTCCCTGAGTGTCCCCTTTTCTCAATCTTTATTCTTTTTTGCCGTTTAGACCTTTTCTCTGCACTCTTGTGCTCTCGTTCTGAAGTTGAACCCTAAGTGTTTCTTCTCTCTCTTTCTCAATACCCAGGTGCCCCCTCTTTGCTTTGAGTCTGATTATTGGTCTGTCTGGTCTCCAGCTCTTTGGTTGTCTGGTTCAGTCGAGCAGTGATCTTCCAGACATCTCCAGGGACTGCAGCCCGTGGTCTGAGGTGAGTCCAACCGGGAGCCATCGCCTTTGCTCCTGTCTCTCCTTGTTTGCAATAACCATTCTGACAGTCGGATCCACACAGCTTTAATTCTTAGAAATCAGTGTTCATTAGAGTCACCTACACTTCAAGAGGAAGCACAGAATAATTTGATGTCATATGCCTCATTATGGTACTCCTACTTAAAGCCATGACAAAAGTATAATCTTTCATGCTCGAGAACCACCGCAAGTCTATGGGGATAAAAGAGAGCCACTGATGCATTTTGATTAGAGGCTAAGTGATCTTACGGTGCAATTCAGTGAGTCATAATGCATAGAATTTTCTTTTTAGAAGAAATGGCCTGATCATCTCTTAAAACTTATTTCTTTTGCCATCTTCCAGACATTTTACATTTACTGATATATTTTGGATGTCACTCAGTGTTTTCAATAACTGTCATGCTTTAAAATTTACCTGTAGTGGCTTGCTTTTTTTTATGAAAAGCAGTGTGGTACAACCATGTGGTAAAGACCATGACCGGCCAAAATCTTACCGAACAAAGAAAATTTTACATTTACTTATCAGTTGGTGTGATCACTTTAGTATTCGTACGTACGGTGTGATTTTGTAGACACCGAAATGCACAATAACCAACTGAACTACAATAAAAACATTGACAGTCAATCAGAATCCAGCAGACGATATAGCAGCATGTGCTTAGAAACAGAATGATATCATCCGCTGGTGTGGACGCTTATAGTAGTCATAATTTATGACATGACTTCAGTTTCCGCCTTTGAATGAACTGTTATTGTAAGTGAAATCGATGTAAATGAACTGTAAACACCTTTCACCATGTAAACACCATGTCTTTAAGCAAAGACACGTCATGCAAATCATTAAATGGCATTAGCAAATCGGGTGCTGTATATAGGCCAAACAAAGTATGTGTTTATTTGCTTGTAAAGTACAAACACGCACACTTAAATCTCACCAGGACGTTAGTGGTAGTAATTGTTTCTCTTTCCTGATCAGGTACATAATGGAGAGTTGCAGAGAAACAAGCAAACTGTTGTTCTTGTGTCCTTCTACAATTACTCCCTGCAGTTTAACATAATCAGTGCTCTCACGCTTCGTCAACTCATGCTTGTGCAGTGTGTCATTCACGTGCCCTTCTAAATCTGTCTCTGTCATGTCAATTCATCACACACACATGCTCATCTCCCATCATGTGTCTAATGAAATATCTTGACAGTTTAAACAAACGGTTCACCCTGTGTGATCTTAAAGAGTCCTTCATCACTGTCATTGGATTTATATCCTGAGCTAAGTGTGATACACTCACACAAGTATGTGCGAATATAAGGTGCAGAAAGACTGACGTATCAACCAGAATCGCACAATATTTGGACATTTTGAGATTATTATTATTATGTGTTGAAAGTTTTCATTCAAATGTTTGTATACATCTAATTTGTTTTAATCAAATTGTATTAGTCTCTAATACATAGTCTCCATCTGCCACCACACTTTGTAGTCATTGGCTGTTGACCCATTTCGGTCAACTGAATATAAAGACACATGCATACCTAATTCTTGAATTCATTGATATTGTTCTTAAAAAGTCATCTCTTTTCACTCTACTTCCAAGTATGATCCAAGGGCTCCAATTTATAAGAATGATAAAGGACAAAAAGTGCCCTTGTCTCTCTCTTACTTTCTCACTCTCATTCTCTCAGGAGGAGTCATGGGGCTGGTACGGGCCTACCCATTAGCCCTGCCTGTGCTGGCTGTTCTGGGCCTCATTATCAGCGCATGGAGCCTCAACCCAGATGACCCTAATGTCTGCAGTCACTGGGAAAGGTGAGAGAGGGGCACTCTCCTGTGTTAAACTCCGTTTTACCATCCATTTCTCAATTGCAGGATTCACACTGCGTAGTTATTCCTCTCTGACATGCCAGAATTTTGTTTTGGTCAAAAGAGGATTGAAATTTCAGTGTAGTGAGTTATGTTTGTGTAATTGTTGGAAAATTGTTTTTTGAAAAGTCATAGAAACACAATTTTTCTTCTTCTTGTTTTGCTATTTGAACAAATGGGAACATATATTTGTGGTAGTAAACATTCACCACTATGTGAACACATTTCATGTGAATACACAACATTCAGTTTACTATAAAGACGTCCACTTCTGTGAACCCTGGAAATGTGAAAAGGAACTACTCCTAATAATAATTAATATTAAGTATAATCAGGGTGTGCTTTGTGAAAAAAAAAAAAACGGAAGGGGGTGGGGGGTTGTTTTAAAACATTCTTATTCATAAAAATAAATCATGAGAATATGAACCTCATCACTGCATTTGCAGGAATTATATATATATATATATAACTCATGAAGTAGCCTAACACAATATTTTTACTCTAATATCTTGGTCCACACATATGAACTGTGATCATGCACAACGAAAAAACATGCTATTAATAAATGAAGGAAATATATCAGCCTCTGCTGAACACGCATTGATTGCAAAGTTAAACCATCACAGTAGAATTATCAGTGGAAGTCAATCTACCGCACTGAACGCCTCAATCGCGCCACACAGCACATTGACTTAACACTGAAATCACTCGCACCAGATGCTCAAGAGTGAGCGAGTAATCAAAAAACCTTTGCTTTAGCCTCAATTGAATGTAACACTGTATGTGTGACTGGGACACTCTGCTTGTCATCATAGAAACAGATAATCAGATTGTGATGTTTATTCCTGCTTCAGCAATATGTTGAATATGCCGCCTTCTCTTCTTTTCGCTGCCCAGCGGACCTGCAACCATCTCGCAATTGTTGATAGGCTATTACTAGTGAGGTGTAACCAATCAGATAGCGCCGTGGACGGAACATTGAGTTGAATGGTGATTACAGAGTGCATGGCTGCGGCAGCTAGAAGAGCCAGACCAAGAAGCGCATTTTAAAATTAAATATACTTTAATCAAACCACAGACCTGTGATAAGTTTTGTGATCCATCTCGCTACTAATGTAGTAGCATTGATCACTTTGAGAGGGGGATACATTTATAAATAATAATTAAGTAGAGGCAGGGATACATTGACCAAAAAGGGGGAAATGTTTACCCTGGGAAATTATACCTTGTCCCTGAGTATAATTATTATTCAATTTTTAACCATTCAAAAACAATGTTGCGATACTGCTCACAGGCTACCTACTATTTAAAAAAAAAGTAGCTAGCTAAAATATAAACTATGATTCTCTCAGTTAGGACTTATATTTACAATAAAGGCAACTTATAAAACTAGGATACATTATTATTTACGCAATAAGTTGAATACACACAACTAAGTGCATTCCATTTTATAATACAGTAGGTGGGGCTAGAATTGGTGAATTATTTTGTATTAGTACATTTTTCTAAATAGTTGGAATGTCCAAGCACTGTACGGATTTTCCAATGCATTTCATTACTGACTCTGTTCACTCAGTTGAAGAGCTGTACTATATGTATTCTGATAAGTGCCCAACTAACAGTGCCAATAAAATGTGAAAATATGATTTTGCTGTGTTTTGCCAAGATGATGACTACTTAAAAAAATAGCTTATTACAAGGGAAAAAAAATGACACCATTTTGAAAACAGATGAGCTACTGAAAAATTAGGTGATTCCCCATCAGTGTTTGTATGTTTTCTGAGATAAAATGTTATTCTGGATACTTGTCAGAATGTTACATATTGAAGTATGGCCTTATTTGTTGTGTTGAATGGATACTTGATGAACAACAATGGATAAACATTTGCCCCTTCTGGGATGACAAAAAGAATGTGTTTACAAGCTGCATGGATCAGTCGCAAAACACACACAATGTGTATTTCAGCTCTGTTCTGTTATCTCAGAGATTTAGAGGATCTTCATTTGTTTGTTCCTCTATTGACTGTATTCACTTTTAATGGCACAGTTGAAGAGATGTAAAGGATTGTGTTTGGGAGTGTTGATCTGGTTACACTTGCCTACAGGTATTAGGTTCAGTCACTAAACACACAGAACAATATTGATGTTCTTATTATCAACCTTGTAGAGTGTGTATGTGAGTCGGGAGAGAGAGTAAGGATATGTTGGTAAAATAAAACAGGCAGAACAGCATTCAGTTGACTAGAACAATCTGTTTTGATTGAACCTATTGCTTGAAAAATGATTATTTGTAAAGGGTGTTATCAGTTATGACAAATAAGCAGGAGCGATTGCCTCTGCAGAGAGGAGGACAGAGGGCTGCAGAGATGAATGAGTTTCAGCATTGGTTTCCTGAAAGAATATTTAGGAGCTTTAATGTCGTTTTGCTGGCAATACATTTGTAATGTTTTCTTCATGGATTTTGTGATAATACATCTTGTTTTTCCTAGAGTTACTGTAGCTTTTGAAGGGAAACATTATGCTTTTCACGTTATTTGAGATAACAAGTTTTGAACTTCAAGCTGAATAGATGGATACATCTTTGAATAGTGAATACTAAGTATTTAATGGTTTGTTTCTTTGGATTACATATCTTCACAATACAGTTGATTATAAACTTGAAACTACCAGCAAATACTTTGTTTCTCAGTAACATACCGGTAATCACGTTTGGGAAATTTTAAGTCCCCAGAGCAAGTTTTCATATTTTTCTCCGGTAAATATTCCTTGGATCGGTTTATTACTGTATATGCAAATACACAAAAGTCCTGATTACAAAAAAAGACCAAAACTATATGCCCAGGACTAAGTTTACAGTTCCTTTACCACATTTTTACCATTAGCGGGGTAGGTTGTCCAACTGTATGGGGTAATTTGTCACAGTAGATTCCTGCCATTAAACAGCCAATTAAAGGATTTAGGTGTATAAGTGTATAAATGAACAATTATGCAATTAAAGGACTTACCACAAAAATGTGTACAAGGTATCAAGCCATATATAGGGTCAGATATTACATATCAATTTTATGAAATAAAAACTTCCCCAAATGCCGCAATAAAACTGTGTTTTGGATTAAATCTACCTTTGTTAATTGACCCTGTAACTTAACATATTTTAACTTGATTTTAAAACTTCCAAGGAGGCAACAGGTTGACATAATTATACAATTTTATTTAAAGAATGTAATTAGAATGCAACAAACTAAAATCAAAATGTAAACTGAAATACATATTTCTTTTCCCCCCTCAATAACTATTATTTTTATTGATAATCTTACAAAATCTTGAATCTTATAGAATCACAAAATAAATTGTTAAATTAATTTAAAATATACACTCCCAATTTCTTTTAATAAATACGTTTTTGGGGGAAAATAATACATTTCAATCAGCTTTGAATATTGTATTGGACAATGAGAGGTCTTCATGTTAAAAAATAAAAATACTAAATGTATAGAGGGTATGCGCGTGACGTCACTGTTACTCACAGTGAGTGGCAAAAAGACTGAGCGGCTGTATTTGTTTTCAGCGTGAATGCCGCGAAAAACAAACACAACACATATAAAGTGGGAAAGAGCTTTTTGATTGACTGTACAACTAGATTTGACAAAAAATCAGAGGTATATTTTTACAGACTGCTATGGAGCAAATGGATCGCTGCAATTCACAGAAACAACTAGACTCCAGACAACACTGATATAAGTGATCACCTTGATTTAGACCTACCTATATTGTATTTATATAAAGCGTTCACAGGCAAATTTGCTTTATGTTTAGGTCTATATTGCTTTAACTTCCCCGGTGTTGAAATCAGGCAAACATAAATGTCAGGCAACACGATTCCTGGCTGCATGTCAATATCCATTGATCACTGGATCTTTAGTAAGTTGTAAGGAACACCGTATTGAGTCCAACATTTAGTTTAAATTGATAAAATTGTTTGTTTTAGTCACATTTTCGCAGTTTCCCCTATTAAATCCAGTCACGCAGCAGATCTTTTGCCACTCAGTCAGACTGAGGGGGGTTGTTCTGGCGGGAAAGTGACGTCAATGCATTCCCTCTATTACTTGTTTTAATTTTTTAAAGGGGGAAAAAAGATATTTACTTAAGTAAGAGATTGAAAATTTATTTTTGGTCTTTCCCTCTCTCAGCTACGCAGTGACAGTTCAAGAGTCCTACGCTCATCCTTTTGACCAGATCTACTACACCAGATGCACCGACATCCTCAATTGGTTTAAATGCACCAGACACAGGTGAGCGTGACCCCGACTTTTGATCTGCAGTTGTCACAATTCAGCTCCATGGCAACAAGCAGCACTCTCCCACTAGACACATAAAAATTAAGATGCCGGTGTGCCAGTCTTTATCACCGAGAGTTAATGTTACCAGCCGTGATTGTAGTGGTCAGAGTCGAGATGGAAATGGCCATTTGACTGTCACCCGACATTACATCGGTTTTAATTGCTGCATTAAAGACTTTATCGTCAGTATCCCTGCTAAAAGCTGTGGGCCCAATGAGTCACTTTGCTGCAGTGTAGCATTCAGAGGCGAGATGTCCTTCAACGAGCACAGAAACTTTTCCTTAACTCACTTTAATTATGTTTATTTCTCCTCTTTCCACCTTCTAGGATTATTAGACAAATAGAAATGTCCTAATGTCCTTGTGGAGTTCACCAACCGGGTTATTGATGTTCATGCTTTCTCTTGTGTGTGCGTGTACGTGTTTCCATCTCAGAACCAGCTACAAGACAGCTTATCGGCGTGGGGTGAGGACCATGTACCGTCGCCGATCACAGTGCTGTCCTGGCTACTTTGAGAGTGGAGACTTGTGTGTCCGTGAGTGTCTTTAATATTTTGCTCGCTTATTTCTCTTAAAACAGTTCAATTTCTCTTTCTTGCAAGTGGTTACGAGCACAATAAAAGCATTCATCTGCTTGAGCTATGTCCTCTTAAGCCTTGAACCCTGCTCCTTCCTCCAGAAGCATTCATCAAAATCTCAGACTTCTTTGAGGCATTTTTGCAACTGCATACTTCAGGCATAATTTGTGCCTTTCATTACCGGTCCTACTCATATTGGGTTTCCTCATATATTCAGTTTAAAAACTGCCAGTACGCCATTACAACACTGTTAATAGCATCTGGTTATCGCTCATTTTTTTCAGAAAAAAGAATCTTGAGTGATTCACTGCAAATACATTGTCCTAATTCCTCTCGTTCTGGAGATAACACGCTAATTAAGGAAATAACAACTTTCCCTTGCTGTGGCCTGAATGATAGATTCAGAGATTATTTTATGAGCAATAAATGTCAAAAATGTCGGCTTTTATATTAGTTTATTGTCTTTTCACACTGCTCAAGATTGGTTATTGTGCTGGCCAGACTCATTAATCTTTAATGCGCTTTAATCACAAATGAACGAATCCTGTCAGTCAGCTCAGACCTTTGGCTCGCACGGTTCAGCAGTTGTTTGACAATATGCAAAAATCTCTGCGTGAAAGGACCTCACACAGGACCGTGTCAAGGTGATGAGGTGAATGACAGTCTTACCGAGCTCCAGGGAGGGGATAAAAATCAACGCACGTAGCTTAAGAGCAAATGGGATTTGATGTCCTCACAGCTACTCGGCGTTATTAACAAAAGGGCGGGACAGGCTTTCTGATGGATGTCTGTCCCTGGGTGGATGGCTTTTCTTCATTTTGTAACACTGACCTATGGTCATGTATTTAGGTTCTAAATATGTAAGATTGTGATGAATGTATTCTGTGCCAACTGTTCGTCCACTCTTAAAGCATCTTGACATTAATATGCATAATGTCATGTAATTCTTCAGCCTGAGCGTTGTAAATGGACTCCAATGAGAATGAACATATTTAACGATCTACATTAAGCCCTGATATGGGACGCTGTAATATCCAGCTCTGCAGGATTCATAAAAAATTATCTTCAGTTCAATAATATGAAGAAAAAAGGAAAAGCCACAGATGGTGTGGTCCGTTTAAATGCTGATTACAAACCCACAATGCTGTTTTATGAAGTCACACTAATTTATAATTAATTTTCATTTTAATTTCACCATATCAAAAAGAATTTTCCATTTTACTATGGAACAAGCCATGAGAACCAGCAGCTGTTTTGCTGTCATTGTGTCACAGGGACCTAACCGGCATTGTCAGTAAATGCTTTTGATTTAAACGCTTAGTCATTTACATATGCCACAGAAAACGCTTTTTATTATCCAAGGACATTTTTAATTTTACTGTTTCACACCTTGCTCTCTTGACAGCAGGCAATGAGCAGTTTGATATCTAGCAGTGATTTAATTGATGTTTTCTCACACTGTTTCTCTTTTTAGCTTTGAAATAATTCATTCATCTAAACTAGACTTCTGTTATTTTTCGAGACCTGTTTTTTTTTCACAAAAGGAAAGAACACTAAAGGAGTTTTTTATAGCAGAATGTCCAAACTGCTCCTCTCCATGCAATGAAATTACATTCTGTGAGTAATTATTTAACCTTTTTTTTCCTACTTTTATGGTGATTTATATAATATAATTTGTATATAGTATAAATGTATTTATTTATTTATTTTAAATGTGAGATCCCCTAATTGCCATCCACTTTCATTCTATGAAGATTAGATTTTTCAAATGTTTTCAATTTGAATTGCACAGAAGAAAGAAAATAAAGAAAAGTTGAGCGTGAGTAGTTGAAGATCAAATGTTTTATTTTGGTGTACTACTCCTGTACTAATTTTACTAATATTGCATGTGAATAAATCTTCTTGAATTTTCTTTGAATGAAAATTAGAATTGTGAACAATAAGAAAAAAATGTAAATCAACAGCTTGTTCACCAGATGTTGTTCTTTCGTTACTAAAGGTCAGTGTAGAAAGGAAGAGGTTTCAACAATGACCTTTAGTAACAAGACATTTTTTTTTTGTGGCTGATTGCGAGTGACCATGGTCTGTTGAAGATAAAGTTGATCTCATGTTTCTGTCCTTATTGAGTGGGATTGTGTCCAGCTCCGCCTGTAGCCTGAAGGCACTACTAACAACCATGGGATTAGGTGCAGCTGGGATAGGGATCAGTTTTGACATTGTCTGGTGGTTTGAGTGGAAGAAGGCAATGACAATAATCAATAATGTTCTCATTACCACACAATAGCTGCAACAATTTCATGTTAACAGTTGCTGCTGTAATGGAACCACACCATCTGTGAAGAAGATGGTAGACATGTTTTTTTTCCCTCAGTGACCTCTATACGTTTATTTCCTCTGTGCTGTTTAAAACATAGATAGCTGCACATGGAGTTTAACAAAACATTCTTTATAAAAGCAGATTTGATCGGACGAGCCTTGTTTGAAACCAGTGGCACTTCAATTGTATTCTCACTCTGTTCATGCAGCAAGATGCTACTGTGCCTTACATTAAACCATGAACAGTCTAATTTCAGTCTAAGGAACTGAATTACTTGACACAAGAATTGTTTATTGTGATTATTTAAAAAATATATATTTATTGAGCATTTTCTTTGCTTGTAATAGTTTTATAAAAGTAGTAAACCACTAAACGCTGTGTTTTAGCTGTTTTGCTTCCCATAGATTACCTGTTTTTGGCATTGATTGTTAATTACTTCCTTTTATTATTTCATTTGTGGATATATGCCTATTTGTTAGGCATTTAGTAAATAGTTCAATAGTTCATATTTTTGTCCTGACTTTATTTGATTTCTGTGTATAATTTGACCATTGAATGTAATTATACTGCAAAACGTCTAATTAGGTGTGTTTTTGCGGTCGTGTGGACACCTTAGAGAGGTATGTGGATTTTATGTGGAGGTCGTTTTTTTTGTTGTTGCTGTATCTGCTTTGTATATAATCCTTCTGCTCTCAGTGGCAGGATTAAGAGCTTTGTGGAACTAGCTATGTTCACTTCGCAGGGACAAGAGAAGGTATTGAAGCATTTTCATTACATATATGTAAATCTTTGCTTTTCGCTGTTCTTCTCGATCTCAAACATCTTAGGGTTTATCCTTGCATGTGCCTTTTATGAGCTGCTGTCTAAGTAGAATCAGTCCCATGTGCATTAGCTGCATTTTAAACCAACTAAACCTAAACCAACACTGCCTATTGTTGCTTTGAAAGTGACATGTTTGCAGGTTGTTTTCTGTGCCCATACTGAGGTGCCCATAACATTCGAGTCATTTAAAGAGCAACATGCAGGTTGGACACCCCTATATAGCATAGTGTATGATGATGATAAAACAACTAGATTTTCTGAACTGGAGTAATATAGCCATTAACGATATTTTGAGAAAAACTGTGATAAAATATCTATGAAGCACTAACCGGAAGTGGCGAGGGAGTCGAATTTATGTCAAATTCAAATTCGAGTTCAAATTCAAGCTCAGGTTACAATGGATGTGAATGAAGAAACTGAGTTCTCTGATGTTGACGAACATGCCTATGATGGCCCACGGGCCTATAATTATGAGCCTCCTAGGCGAGATAGAAGTCAGGGGGAGATCGGGGGAGGAACATTGGGCAGAGGAGAGAAGTAACGTTAGAGTTGTGTCGCAAAAACCAGTGGCGAATAGGGCAAGCGACTTGGTGAGTTCATGTAAGTTAGCACCGTGGCTAATGCTGGTTCATCTACTGTATGGCTAGTACCTTGGTGTTTTGGAATAAATCTGCTTTAGCAAACATACGTTCGACTTTGTTCTTGATTAAACATCCATTTAGATTGTCTTAATTTAAGCCAGCCGTTCTGTCTTCTCACATTTCTACACTGACCGTGATTATGCAGTCCATCCAAGCTGGTTAGCACTATCTACATTGACTAATGACCATGCCATAACAACAAACAAATAATGACAATACCTAAGCTACAATAACAACAGTCTATTGGCGCTTTTCCACTGCATGGCACGGCTCGCTCGATACGGTACGGCTCGGCTCACTTCGCGTTTCCACTGCGTGATTAGACTCGGCTTGGTTCGCTTTAGCTCGGTTCCCAGATAGCAAACTGACATTGAATCAATGTGGAACCGACGTTTCTCATGACATCGAAACAACGTTGATCTGGCATTGTTTTGCTCATCGAATTAACATTGAACCAACATCAGACGCGCCATTCTTCAAAACTAACGGAAAATCAACTTGAAATCAACATCATTTGAACGTTAGGAAAGCAAACCAATTGCGTTGATTTTCAGTTAGTTTTGAAGAATGGCGCGTCTGATGTTGGTTCAACGTTAATTTGATGAGCAAAACAATGCCAGATCAACGTTGTTTCGATGTCATGTTTCCACGTTGATTCAATGTCAGTTTGCTATCTGGATTTGCTTTTCAACTGCAGTTAGTGATACCATTTAAAGCGAGTGAAATATGCGCCACAAACGACCGAGTGTGTGGTAACCTATGGTGGTAACAAACGCACCAAAACGCACCCATGACCGAAAAGCCTTGTTTTTCCTAGAAGGAAAATTATGGACACGATGTCCTGACAGCACAAACACAATAATTTAAAATTATGTCTTCTCTAAAACTCGATCTAAAACTCTGTCTCTCAACTGCTCTAACTACATCAACACCCAACAATGAGAAAGCGGACCACGAGCGCTTTTGTTTGCCTCGGCCTACGTCTTATGACACGTTGCTAGCGGGAAAGGCATATTCCAGAGCCTTGCACATTTTCATCAATATCTCTACATCAAATGAGATTTCATTAGTAATGTTTACATGTGTGTTTTTAAAAGACCTCTGCAGACAATTTAAAGTATTAATTCAGAAATAAATTCAACCTGCATGTTGCTCTTTAAAGGAATAGTGCACTTAAAAATTAAAATCCTGTCTTCATTCACTCACCCTCAAGTTGTTTCAAACCTGTATGAATTTATTTCTCCTGCTGAAAACAATAGATATTTTGAAGAATGTTTGTAACCAGACAGTTGATGGACTATGGAAGCCAATGGGGTCCGTGGAGTGTTTGGTTACCTACATTCTTCAAAATATCTACCTTTGTGTTCAGCAGAAAAATTAAATTCATACAGGTTTAAAATAACTTTAGGGAGAGTAAATGATGACAGAATTTAAATGTTTAAGTGAACTATTCCTTTAACGTATGCACTCCGCCTTTAAATCCCATACTGTCAGTGGGCTTAAATGCTTTTTAACACAGAACCTTTAGTCAATGAGTTCATTCCTGCCATATTGCAACACTAGCACTGCTTTGCATGTGTGAATTGTGCATTTAATGTTGAGGAAGAGACCTTGCTCATACTGAGCTGCAATGACTTTTCTTGGAGCCAAACTACATGGAGCCATCTGGTCAAAAGAGTCTCAAATAGTTAGTGATGCAGTATTAATAATGATATGTGCATGCTGCAGCTTCTTGCTGGAGGATAAGTTGCTCTAATAAAGTCCCATGGACCATCCATCACAAAGTAGATTTCTCATCTTAGTTTTAATGATGGATTAGATAAGATCATGCATTTGTTTGATTTTGAAATCTTTTTTAGTTTTATTATTAATAAGTTCATATTAGTAGTACATGTAACAATTACGTTATAGTAGATGCATACAGTAAAAAACTTGGATGATTTAATGTGTTGATTGATTGACTGATTGTCAAACGGTATGTTTTGGCCAGATGAGTATTCAGTGTAATAATGCATGACAATTACAATTAGCTCTATTGTTACACGGTATGATAACTGTGTAATGAGATTAGCTCTTTATCAAAATGAAAAACATCATTTTTCACTTGAGCTTGCAGACGTAGTCTTTTTCTTGTGTAGAAGAAAGAAGATTCATTGAATTTTAATTAAAATGCAGAAGCTATTTTCTGAAGTATTATAGACACGAACATCAATTCAGGTCTTGGGAAAAGGCTCTCTTTATCCTTTCACATACGTCATATAAATTAATTTTAATTTCCTGAAAAGATGTGACCAATTAGCATTTCTTCTCAGTTGTCTGATCAGAAATTGCTGATTGTAACAAAAATCAATCATTTCATCACCAGAGTTTTTTTTTAACCTCCCTTTTGAGCACGTTGCATCGCTCCATTGATTTCAAGAAGTCAAATTGATGTCTTTGTCAGCAGAAAATGCTACAGTTTTTTTTTTCTCTTTTTCTTAAGCTGGAGGAGAACTGGCATGCCTGAATATCAAGTTCTCAGTGCTGTGTAAATCCATACTGCATTATTTGCCAGTGGCAGGTTTAGCATTTTCTGTGTGTGGAGCATTTCTGCTCTAAGCACCATCCTCTGGGTATTTGGGATTCTCCCTCTCCCCATCCCGTTCCTGTGCTTATGTCCAATATTGAGGGCCTAGTCAAAGACTGAAAGAGTGATAATCTATAGCTATGCTTGCCAGGAATGAGTGAAAGTCATGCCTCATCCTTTACCTACTGCATCTAGCTTTAGTGTGTGCCAACATCAAAACATGCACACACATTAATTCACTCATATGAGCATGTTTTATTTGCTTGAACAATGATGTTTATTTTCATTCTGAAAATATATATATACACACACAAGTTACCGGTTAAAAGTTTGTTTTTTTAAATGTTTTTGAAAGAAGTCTCTTAGGGCCCTATTTTAACGATCTAAGCACATGGTCTAAAGCGCAAGGGCGCAAGTGGACTTTTGCTTGTTTAATGACTGGAAAAATGGTCGGCGCACACGTCGCATGATCTGAAAGGGTTGTCCCTATTCTCTTAATGAGTAATGGGTGTGTTTTGGGCATAATGTGAAATAAACCAACCAGAGTCTCATCTTCCATTCCCTTTAAAGGGGTGGTTGATTGCGATTTCACTTTTTTTCATTTTAAATAGTGTAATGTTGCTGTTGATGCATGAGCAGTATCTGCAAAGTTGCTGCGCTGAAAGTTCAGGAAGTTTAATGCCTACTCGAATGGAACTACTTCTCCGCCCCCTCGTCAATATCAGGACCTCATCAGCATTTCTTTCACCCTTTTATTGTTGGACAATGTTTGCTCCAAGTGAGAATGTTAGTGTAAAAATTGAACACAGTATATGGCAACGTTGTAAAAAAAAATGCACAAGATATTGATATCCATATTGATAAGAGCATTAAAAAGAAAAATAATGGGAAAAAAAGAAATCAAGAGACATTTAGAACAGATTAATATGTGCGATTAATCGCAAGTTAATAACTATGACATTAATGCGATTATTCGCAATTAAATATTTTAATCGTTTGACAGCACTAATATATATAAAAATTTCCACCCATAATTTATTTTATTTCAAAAGCAGTGCATTCTAAATTCCTAAAAAAATATTTTTTGTTACTTACAAGATTCCCTTGAATAAAAATAATAAATCTGTCCCCTTCCCCTCAGTTTAAATATGTATAGTAATATTTCAAAACAATTTACTGGAAAAAGGATATTATCATAAGCACCACAAAATGTGTGGGCACCAAAATAATTCACTGTTCCCGAGGTGTTGACATTTAAGATTTGTGTCATACTTCAGGGCTCCTGTGAACGTGACAGAACTTGAAATATTGCTCTTTACTGAGTGGTTCTTGTGCGGTTTAGAGGAACACATTGAAGTATAAAGGGCGGAGAAGTCCCAGTACCAATCCCTTGAATTGATTTATGCAGATTAACACACACTCCACTATACTGCTACATAACACTTTATGAGTTTCTAAATTCATTAAATTTTCAGTTTGTGTTTCATTGTTTTATTGCGGTTAGGAAAGACTTCTCTGAGAGAATCTTAATAACCATATTAACCGAAAAAGATAAATGCCAGTCATCATAGTGTTTATCAAGTTTCTTTCAACAAAATGCATGACCGGCCACATTAACTTTACGTTGTTGATAGTACCAACCTTCACATATTTCATGGTCAAAGATAAGGACACGCCATAGCATTTTTTTTTCCTTCTTCCCGCTAAAATCTCTAGAAGTACTATACATTCTTCCGCCCTTACTTGTAGAGTCACTACTGATTCCAATCAAAGTGGATTGTTCCAGAAGCTTTGGGGGTCGACTGTTTCCTGACTCCGATAAGAGCCTGTCGGTTTGAGTCCTGCTGGCCAGGTGACCTTCACTCCCTTAAGCATTATTCATGCCTATATATTTTCCCTCTAATTCATCTTTTTCATCATCCTGAAAAGCATAAAAAGTGGAAAATATTTTTTCTTATTACTTGTCTGAATCTAAATATCTGGCCAAATGCGAGGTCCCGGGCAGGAATACTAATGCTATAGACAATCAATTCGATGCTGTGGTGTTCAATAGGAATGATCAAGAAAACTGCACACTTTGTAAACAGCATGAAGGCTGGCTGGCGCTGTGTTAGAGCATTGTGGCAAAGTGCAGGCTGATCAAATTTGGAGGGATTTACAGCTTGTTTCCTTGCGGCTGTGGCTGCTTACGTCGGCTCATTTTGCATGGAACAACCGGTTCATGAGATGTTGACCAAGGACTCAATCTCTTAGGTAATTTGTTTAGCATGTGGTCGGAGTGAGCGTTTTAAACACGTGCTCTGGCGAGGAGGCATCGGTGACAGCCATCTTTGGAAAATAGCCAGTGCAGTCATTATCCTCCATATCAGCACATCAACAGACATTTGCGGCCGTCTAAATGATGTCTTACGGGAGGGCACAGACCTACAGTGTCTGTAAAGCATCCTGCGCTTATTCACATTTCTGTCTAATAATGATTTCAAACCACATTCATTCTCTTCAAAGTGTTTTACTAGATAATTTTTTTCTATTTCTGCGACGTATTTGAAGCATTATTTTCTGTTTCTTTGTCTTTCTGTTGTTTTATCTCTGATAGCACGATGTACCGAAGAGTGTGCCCATGGTCGGTGTGTGTCTCCTGATACGTGTCAGTGTGAGCCAGGCTGGGGAGGACTGGACTGCTCTAGTGGTGAGTTCACTCTCTCATTAACTCTGAGAGCACAGTTCACTTCATTAAGGCCCTCTCACTCTCACATAGTTAATGGCTGCACCAGTCCCCAGATGCCACAGCAAATATACCATGTTTCTCACTTACTCGCTCCTCTCTCTTCTTGTGCCAGCTGTATTAAAAAGTAAAGCTGGAAATCATGGTGGAAGAATGTGTAATTGTGCAGCTGCATTTAAAGGTTACTCTCTGCGCTAAAGCTCTGAGAGGAAAATGACAGCTACTGTATGAACTAGTTTTGGGGATTATTGAATTTCTCCATGTTTTTCCAATTTTCTAGTTGTGTGACATTAAAAGGTGAATACTGTAAATCACTTTGGCACAAATTCTGTGACACCAAAAGTTCAAGTTACGGCTTTGATTGGTTCACGCAATGAATTCCGCCTATGATCGTGTTTACCGAGCTTGATGATTGATGATCTGAAAATAAGTTGATTATTAGAAAGAGTAGGTGAAGATCAGTTCACAAATATTTTTTTTTTTGTTTAAATTGATACTGACTTGAGTTCTTATTCAAGGCAGCTACTTGTTGACATTTATACTTGGTCTAAATAAATAGATCATTCATTACATTGTTAATGTAAAAATATATATTTAATATATATATATATATATATATATATATATTATATATATAATATATATATATATATATATATATATATATATATATATATATATATATTTGGTTTCTTTCTTCTTCTTTTTTTTGATGGTGAAAATAATGTTTATATACCACAACATTTCTGGTAGTGTAACTGAGACAAGCGTTTACATTTGATTTATAAAAGAAACTGCCTCCTCATTTCAGAACACCACTGCATGCCACTGATATATATACAAGCAATTGAATCATAAGGTGTACTATAAATAATGACACGGTGTAATATGTCTTGTGTTGTTGTTCATTTGGGGTTGTATTTACCTATTTTTTATCAGACCTGCAAAGGACCAGATGATTTTTTTTATTATGCCCTGATATGTAAAACAATAGAATTCAACAGGGTGTTCTTTCTTTGTGTGTATGTGTGTGTGTTTTAAAAAATGTTTATATTTCAAATATATAATTTTATTGTTGAATGGCCATTTGAACTAATTTTTAAAACATTTTTTTCATTCGGTACACACACTAAAATTATAAATAACATATTTGCCTTACATATAGGATTTAAATTCTTTATGGTTAATTGAAAACAATTTTTTTAATGTGAATTCCAATGATGAATTGTTTTGTCGAAAATGAGTGGATTTTTTTGACAATCTTATACATGATCCATATCTGAGTATTTAAAGTTTAACAATCAAAGCAGAACTGCTTACTTGTAGTTAGAAACTGTTTTGATAGATGTAACAGTAAAATATATGTTGGGATCTCTGCCATTTGTGCAGTTATTTTCCGTAGAACTACGCTGTAAAAAAATATTGTTGGTTTAACTTAAAAAAGTAAGTAACCTGGTTTCCTTAAAATTTTAAGTTGATTGAACTGGAAAAAGTGAGTTAATACAATGAAGGACATTAATTTAATAATCAGAAACTCAAAATAATAAGTTATCTCAACTAAATAAATTATTTAAGTTGATTTGACAAAAGAAAAAATCTTGAAAATATTTTTTTTACAGTTTACTTGTTTTTATTAAGTCTAAATTCCTTGATAATAATCATTATTGCAATCATTATTGTTTATCAATTTGATTGATTAGTTGTTGCAACCTTATACTCAATACAAAGCTAGTCAGGGTGATAAGTGACCAAAGGACAAATGAATGGAAGAGTGAATGGATAGATGAATAAATTGCTGGATTGATAAGTTGATGGATGGATGGGTGGATTGATGGATGTACCTGTATGGATGGATGGATTAGACAAAGCTGACCTGTTTTCTTGCCCCAGTACTTGGTGAAATGGTCTTCATCACAATTAGAAAGATAAGTAGTGCACAGGGTGGAATCAATCTGCATGTGAAAAACAAATTGGATAATGAATTGGTTAACAGGCCATACCTCGATGGATGAAACATTGCGGGACAATATAGGAAGCCATCGACATTCACTCTCTAATCAACTAAATGATGAAAAAGCAGGTTGTAGGAGAGACTAGAGGTTAAGTGAGAAAGAGATATTGACTTGGTTAATATTTATGTGTTTAGAGGAACTTGAAGGCAGTTGGGACGACAAACTAAACCTCTTTCATGTAAACTACAGCAGGGCTGCAAACTTCCTGACCTTAGATTTGCGCTGAAGTATGCATGTAAATGTCTATAGTCCTTTCTGTCCAACATCAGTCACTGATGTACAGCTCTTGTCAACGTACATGACGACTGATATGCTGATTTTCTCATTCAAGACGTGTGTTTTGACCCAATTCGTTATTTTTTCCGGCTTGTTGACTCGGTTGTGGCTCACTTACTGCCCATATTTACCAGTGAATGATGGTTGCAGAAGGCTCTGTATGGATCTATGGGCATTTTCATTAACAAAGGATCCATTTCATGATTGCGAACAGTCTGTAAATCACCAGCTTTCTTTCTGAGACACTGGCCACAGCGGAGGAGGCGCAGGCACGTCCACCACTAATGACCTAGACCGATTTTCTACCGTTAAATCCACTTGCAGGAACAAGGTTCCTCGGTGGGGGACCGAGGAAAGAACCCACCTCTGAAGTTCGAAGACCCTCCCTTGGGTACGTCTGCCTGAGAGCAACACATTCTTCTGAGCAGGTGCTGTTCTGTACTAATCCGCCTTATTAAAACAGACCTGGTGATTGAGACAGAAGCATTATTCATAACTTTAATATTTCCATACCGGGCGTTAGGCCAGGCTTTTTCATTTATGAGCTTTCATCTGTAGAAATGAGGAAGGGGAGCCAATTTTTAAATTAAATCTGACCTCTTTTTTCACTCGTACATAAATGGTGCATCATTTTTTTTTTTCCTTTTTGCCATTCAAGGTAAAATTCTCTTCTCCTTCTCTCCCTCATGCGTGGATGAGTGGTGGGAACCTCGGCTGTCCCGGGGTGGATTCCGTCATCACATTTCAGGATCCTCCTAGCTAACAGAGACAAATAGTCATAGATCGTTAATCACAATCAGGGCTTTCGGTCACCGACTGAATTGCCTGCTGATGGAGTCAATATGGAGGTATGAGAGTGAGATAAAGCCGAGTATTATGTGCGTTCTGAATGAATGGAGTATATAGGATAATGCTAAGCAATGGGGATGATATGGTTATGAAAAACAGAGCTGCTTTTGGGCGACTGAAGAGCTTGAGAGTTGAAGTGACGAGCTTTGCGCTGACGCTCTGGAGCAGCATCAAAGAGGCTGGCCAGCGTTACTGGAGCAGCACCCACTAGGAGCCTGCTATTTGGGTCAGAAATGAAAACTGAAAGGTGGAGCTTATCGCCAGGATGAAGGGATAAAAACGAAATGAAAGAATGAGAAAGAGAGGGAGGAGAATAGAAAGGGCCTGTCAATTCGCTCCTGCTGAGGTCAATCTGCCATTGCCTAAAGACAATGTAGCCGTCAAGTTTGTCACTCTGCAAATGTGAAATATAACCTTGGATCGTTCAGAAAGCTTCAGGTTCAAGTCACTGCAAGGTCATCTGCAACATAAAGGCTTCTACACAAATCTGAATTATGCTCTTAAAGTGAAGCACTCATTTTACACGGTCTATTTAAGATTCCTGTGTCAAATTTACTTCCGCTGCTTTGGCAACATAGTTATTTATTTGATCATTTTTTCAACGCATTAGAGTTGGTGGACTGAAGGACCAAAGAGAATGCTGAGTTTGGGGAGTTTTTCCAGAAAGCATCTGCAGATTTCCCCATTTCATATTGATTAGCCTGCGGTAAAGATTGAGTTTTTGAGACAGTATATCAGCAGCTGTAGTCTTTATGATCGCTACATATTCATCAGTGTCTAGCTTGTCATTATGGCCAGAAATGTGGATACCAGTTTGGCTCAAAGCTTTTATTAAATATGATTAAACATGGACATGGGCACTATGCCCATATAATTGCTTAGATGTATGTTGATTCTGGTTTAGTGGAGTCAATCAAGAAATTGTCTTTTGAGGTCCTGCATGGGACAGCATTTACCTTACACACAGGATTATCAATCAACATTTCTGTTTTCAAACTTTAAAAATCAAGCATGAAAGGATTTTCTAGTATACCCCCAAAACAAAAGCAAGACTTCGTAAAAACAATTAATAAAAAAAAAACTTTTGAATGATATTGTATAACTGTCACATTTTAAGGAGTCCAAAGACGAAGGTGAGTCAAAGTTCCAGTCCAAAGTTATTTAATAAAAGAATAATTCAGATAATCAAACACAGTGTAACAACATGTCTAAACGCAAAAAAATAGCCGACCATGATAATTAACTAAAAGATGTAATGATCAAATGAAATGCCATGGTAATTTATATAAAACTTAAGGAAAACTTAAACAAAGGAAACAGGTGACTGATGATAAACAAACTCAAAGTCCATGAAAATGAACCTAAACCAATTGACATGTGAGAGTAACACTGTTGCTGTGTTGTATTGCAACAGCTATAGGCTGGACTTGACAAAGCGACCGTTGCTAATCCAGTTGTTCTTAATGTCAGAAGTATCACGTGCGCTGGGAGTACATGAAAAAATAGAATAGGTCATCAGATGTGCCACGCTGCATTCAGTGTAGGCGGCATCACTGATTATAATGGGTTCTTTTTGTTTTTGTTGTGTAGATACAGTGATCGCACTGGTTTTTCACATTTCCAGTACTATGAATAAGTCTTTAAACATGAAAATATGAAGCTACCTTAATATTTCAAAACAATGAGATCATGACATTTTTGTGGGTCATCAAAAAAGTAAGAAAATTCATTGGTTATGTTTTATCCCACTTGACTTTTCACTTCACTTTACATTTACTTCAGAAATATGACAGCTATACTCATTATTTTTCCTCATTTTGCTTGCTT